TGTTATTATCATTATTAGATGATGATGACAGCACATAAGAAACCGTTATTTATTAATTTACAATTTTTAATGGTAACTTTTGTTCCAGAGACTGGCTGAAGGGATGTGGAGAACATTTTATGCAGCAAAAGAAAGATAGTTTTGCAATATCTACGTATAATTATCAATTCAACTGCTCCTCAGGAAACAGTTATGTTACTATGACAACTTAGCCAACGTGTTAATGAATATCTGCCACCGTAGTGGTTCGGCAAAAGATAGACAAAAACCATCTATAGCTCCGTTTTGTCACACTTAGTTAATAGTGGTCATTTAGTAGCAGGAAAACGAAAGCATTCAAGATGATTCATCGCATCCCACCGAACCTTTCCAAATGACTCCGTACCCGTCTATTACATACAGCTGAGGCGATTGGCATTCGAACTATTAGGCGTAAATTATGCATTCAATGACTCAATAAAACCTAATCAACTAATGATTATATCACCGCCATCCCTCATTTAAAGTTTCTAGTCGCTGTCTTATGAACTTTTAACTTTAATACATTATAGTGCCACTAATCTTGTAGTGAAATGAATCAGAATATAATTTCAATTTCCTGTTAATTAACGTCTGGCTACAGGATTGTAATCCTGAAGTTTTACAGAGAAGTTTTGTCTGACTTGCGAGTATAAAGCGGATGTTCACCGTTGGAACTGACTGCCAATTTTGCCATATCGCAAAATGACAGAAGTTTGGAAATATGCATCAACTGGTTATCGATATATTATTGTTGCTTCCTTTAGTTCCTAGAGGAACATAGAACTGCATTCGCACGTCTCCACTGTGTTCGGTCCTCCGCCAACGTTTTCACCTGACTTCACGTCTGCCCATATGCTTTCATCTCGTCTTCACATGACTTTCTCCATGTCTCCCCACCCTCGTAATGACGTCCAACTCCCCGCTTCCTACTCGGGTTCCACTTGGGCGATGGCCTGGAATGCGATATCGGTCACTTGATGACCAGCCGATCCACCTCCATTTTTTCCTGCATATCTGTTAATAATAGTAACAATTTCGCTTTTATTCCAGAAACAGTACTAGTGGTACAGTGGGGAATTTTCAGCACATATCTACAATATTGCATCTAATTTCATCGTACATTTTAAAAGGAGTATTACAAAAATAAATATTAAAAAAAAACAGCGAAAAACTTAAAAGAAACACAAAAATAACAAAAAATGCAAATAAAAATGCCAAGTAGAAAGCAAGATAAACACCAATAATGAAAAAATATTTCAGTATTTGGTAGTGGAAGCTATGATATGTGTATGCGTGGTGAACAGTAACAGCTATAACGATACAAGAAGTTATGAGATGTTCTTTAAGAATGTTTGTAGCCAGGATGATCAGTTAATTTGATTGAACTACACTTAACAATCATAAAATAAACATTTCAGGTTGTGTTTTTTTATTGTCAGCACTAATGCGGTGTTTGTAGTGGTAGTGTGAGGAATCATGCATCATACAAAATTTTTAAGATGGTGATAGTGGCGTTAAATAGTGCTGAAAAAAACCACGAAACTAATATTACATGATGGTTAATGACAGGATAATTTTGTAATAATCATAGTGATAATATAGTCGGACCCAGTAGATACACAGAAGAAGGAATAGAATAAAGTATAAAAAAGTAAGCCACTGATAATAATTTTAAGTAGCTAAGTATGTTTAAGAAGGTTGTTCACTATAGAGTACAAATAAGTGAGTATAAGGGAGAAATAAAAGGGCCACAATTATGTTATTAACAACAAAGCAAGTCATAGGTTTCGCGCTTAACATTGCCTCTGTCACTTAGAACACGGGCCAAATATGATATCGTTGAGTTCCTATATTTGAGTGTACGAGCATATTTTATTTTGTACTGATTTCTGGTTCTACCTGATGAGATGCAAGGAGAGAGTTGGGAATAGAGGGGGTTTCGGGGGGCGGAGAGTATGGTTTTAGACCATTTTTCGCATGTATTCAGATGCTTATCTACTAATGTAGTGAGTTACGAGCTGACTGAGTTTTACACCACTAGTCCTACTAACTACCTTCAACATCCTTCTCAGGATGGTGTATTCCTTTTTAGTGACCTAGGAAAGTCTGTCTGTCTGGATTCAACATAGAACTTGGCACCGAAGTGCAGCAGTTCGAGTTGCCACGTTCCAACCTAGGAAAGACTAATGGGGAGCAGTAAAGTAGAATAGGTAAGATACGAGAGTTGACAAATTGTGAAAGTAGGGGTTGAATGATTCCAGTTAGTCTGAGTTTCTTAATGTGGTGGGTTAGACGTAACACTTTCGTAGAAATAGTTTGGATATGAGATGACCAAATAAGGTCGGAACGTTAGAACTAGACCGAGGTATTTTGCATTAGACTTTGTTTCAATTTTAGTCCGCTCAATGCTACAGGCTATATGAGTGCTTACTAGTATTTGTAGATCTCGTTTATGCCTAAAGGAGAAGTCTATAATCTGGCATTTTGAGGGATTCAGCATGAGGCCATTTAGATTAGACCACTGACTGGTGTCCGACAGGAAGCTATTTAATTTGAAGCAGTCTGACTGAGACTTAACGGGAAGCGAAACAGTCAGGTCATCTGCATATTTGACGAAGTTGATTTCATCTGAGAGAGGTAAGTCATGTAAGAAGAAGGAAAAGAGAAACGGAGAGAGAACAGCACCCTGAGGAACTACAGCTTCAGTAAGCAAAGGAGAGGAAGCTACAGCATTATATACCGTGTACTGGATCCTAATGGAGAAGTAAGAGTGCAGCCAGTTCCTGTTGGGTTGGTTCGCTCATTGCCAGATATCCCCCTGGTGTTGATTTTTTCTGGCCAGCCATCTTTATCTTGAGCGAAGACAGCTGTTGATGAATTTCCGCAGTTTGTTCGAAGTGCACTTCACGACGCCCCAAGTCTTTTACTGATATATTACAGATGTGAAATTAGAGATGGAAGTAAGTGGTGACCTGAGTTCTTGAAACAAAACATTTTAATAAACAAGTACCTTGTTAATGGGATTAGTTATTAGATTGTTAGAGGCAAGAAGCCTTTGAGCTAAGTTTCGTTCTTGTTGGCTCTCGTCAGCAAGACGTATCTGAAATCTTCTGAGATTCGAACAGTCGTCACCCACATATATAGTATGTCTGATAACACCAACAGCATATCAAACTGATAGATCCAGGTCACTGAATGCTTCACTCACCATTATCCTTTAACTGAAAACTTTTAACTTTAGTTTACAAGCCAGCTTTATTGAGTCTTCACAAAGAAACAAGCGTGCACGTGTTTCTGTGTGAACCGTACACTGCAGAACATCTGTAATCATAGATTCGAAATTTATACCATCCTATAAAAATTTATTCATTCAAACAAAGCATTGATCAGCTAAATCTGATATTTTAATACAATTGTCTTATGAGTGTGATGAATGTGCCCTTTAACTAAGATCGGATGATACGCCGGTGACTAAAACATGTAGTATTCTTTCTTTTAGGATGACAATAGCTTCATATAAGTTTGACTATCGAGCCCTAAGTATGAGAACTGTATATATGGACAATATGTAGGTAGACTATTCATGATATGCATTAGAATAAATGTGTCCAAATACTAGTCCACTCATAATTTTCTCTCTTTTGTATGACTGTTTAAGGCTAACCTAGCAACTACAGTACAAATATCAAACGTAGTGTTACTATACTAAAGAGTGTTCATTTCATCAATAAATATGTGACCAGTCAAGGGTTGAAAATGAATGCACTTTATCTCTTTCTATCCTAGTCACGTAAATGAAATGTGAACCCAAAAGGAATAACCGATCAATATCTGTGATGACTCATGTATTCTTTTCTCAAATATGATTAATGCAAAAAGGTTTTAGGTTTATTAGGCTATTAAAATACACTAGAATACATCTTTCCTAATTCTAGTTCACTCATGTGATCTAATGTATACTCACTCACGCATATACGCATCATAAACTTGATAGCAAGAAGTAGATAGGGTATTTGCGATGTACACCTTCTGGCTCTAATTCCACTTCTAATAAGAAATGACACAATACAGTCAGTGAATAAAGTCATGTATGTTTAGAAGATGAATGATACATTTTGTAGTTCAATTGACTTTAACTTCTTACCGGTATATTATTGGAGTGTTCGAACAAAAACATGGCATCAGTCCATTAAATATAAGTATTTCTTTTTAATTTTGATTACAGCCTGATGCCACACCGTATTTTCAGTACAAGTATGGAATTTTCAGCATGTGATATCGGTAGCCCAAATTTTTCAGGCCGACCATAGATATCAGGTGTGCGTCGACAGGGGATCGGACCTCGGACCATGTTCATGGTCGGCGAGAGTCCTAACCACTGTGCCACCGACGAACAGAACTTGAGCACTGTAGTAAGATGTAATTCCATATTATATAAGTTTATTTCAAATATAAGCTGACATCACGTAGAGAACCACTAGAAAGCCAACTTGGATCAATGCACAGCTGTTTCGTCCTAGTGCTTGAGACTCTTCAGTAGTACGCAGCCCCTCAGGAGATCGAACCCAGGATCTTCTAGTTACAAGGTTAGCGAGCTCGTAGACCATTAAGCCACTGGGACCCAATCCAGTGGCCTGGGTTCAAACCCCACCTGGTGGATGCGTACATCTGAACAGTACCAAACTAGGCTGACGAAACAGCTGGCTGTCCAGTACTCCCGTTTGGTTTACCAATGACCCTCTAACCGATGTCAGCTCACGATTAAACCCTGTAACCAATCAAATCATTGCTTGATACTTATTTGTTGTTGTTGTTGTCACAATGTGCATGACTTAATATGTATTTAACCTTAAAATGAAATTGTTTGTCGGGTGTTCAGCTGACGAACCTTCCTATCGAAATTTATGAATTCATTAAATACAGCTTCTTTTTTCACAGTTGTTACTTGTTTTAGATTAAAAAAAAGAATGAAATCATTTTCAAGGAAGCATCTGTTGAAACTCACTTTTTATCGATGCTATCACATTGGCAATATCAGCATCCAACATTGTCGTATTATAAGAAGCAGAAATTATATCACTGATGCGATTATTATCAGTATTATGCCTATCACTAGGTTTGTCATTATTATGATTGTCACCATTGCAATCAATTACGTCATCATTCCCAGCTGAAGAAGAGGTGGAGAAGCATTTGGATGAACTCATATCATTACAACACAACAGTGTACACTGTTTTGAATGAATGTAAACAGAATTTGATGTTTTCTCATGGTTCATTTCTTCAATGTCTAAAATCATATCTTTAATAGATTGTTCAAAATTCCATGGTAAAGACTGATCGATAGACTCGATCAATAATTCAGTAGAATTACATAATGAATGATTAGTGTTCACTATAACTTGATTAACCTTTGTGTTACTCGATTCATGATTATTATCATTCAAATCATATGAATTATTCTCAGTTTTCAAGTCCATATTGATTATAATGGTCGAGACAAAGAGAACTGAAGGGAATATTGATTTTTCTTCTTTCCCTCTCTACACTGACTTCTTGAAGTAACGTTTAGATCTACTCCTTAGGTTGAATAACACAAAAGCTCTGTGTATTTTTTTTTATCAAACAGTAATTCGTGTGTGAAGTGAAATAATTCCAGGAGGTTTTTCTTTCACCTTTTGGTAAGATAATTCGAATTTTGCTTGAAGACTAGTCAGAGTTTGAATGAGGTATTGTTCAATTATTACGACATATAATTATATCGAGTGTTAGATAAGGGGCCTTAGTAACACTAACTACAAATATGCTGGTTGTATATATATATATATATACAATTTGATACTAGAAAGACCTCAAACCTTTTAAACAAATGCATAAAGATGATGCCTGTAGGTTACGTAATTTACTCTAGTTATTCTGGCTAACAGCAAGCGGTATGCTTTAAAGAAATTAACAAAACGAGAAGAAGTAGAAATCATATTGACTTTACTAGGTTTTTAATATTTTCGATATAATTATATTAGTAAACAAAAATCATCTAAAAAATTATTTTACAATAAACTTCAAGGTCAATGAATCTAAGACAGTTGGCATAAATCTCAATGGACTATAAAAGATGTTCTATCCATCATAATGCACAAAAAGTCTTCTGTATTTTTAAAGGTTGGTTTGTAGGGATATGATTGGTTACAGGATTCATCAGAGAGCTGATATCAGTTAGATGGAGAACCAGTGGAAAATCATCAGGCAGTACTGAATAGTTGTTTCATCCTAGTTAGTGAATTCTTCAATTGTTCGCACCTACTGCTAGATTTGGAACCTAGTACCATCCAGTTACAAGATGAACCCGTAGACTGTTGAGTTACTGGGATCCGATCCAATGGCTACATTATGGAACGTACAGCTTCAACAACACATCTCCACTTTCTTCTATTTTCTACTCCCCTCTTCATCTGACTAGTCATATGATTGCTCATAATCTCTTATCTCCTCCAACTCGCCACACGATCTCTTCCATGTCACCCTTGTAGTGACAACCCACTCCTCTCTTTCCATTTCGATTTTACTCAAACAATTGCCTTCACTGAGCTGGACGTCATTCGACGGCCTCCTCAACGTATGCCCCACCGATCCATCTCCATTTACTCCTACATATTTGTCGAGCAATCGGCTTTCGTCTGTTGGTTTATTCCCAACCAGTCAGTCAGCCAGAGTTTCTTCCTGCTAATTCTTTCTGGCCGGCCGGTTGGTTGCCTGGCTAGCTGGCCATTTGATCTTCAGTATGGAGCCAGCCGGCCAGCGAAGTGGGAAGCTGTTGATAAAAGTCTACCTTAGACTGTTGGAAATCCTTTTCGTGACAGGAACTGCAAGTTTCTGACTCATATAGAAGAACTGACTGACTGACTGACTTCACATTTGTGCTGAACAGAATCCGAATCTTGTTGTTGTTTATGCTGGCTGACTGAGCCTAGTGCAGAAGATTTCCAGACTGGTTTCAGGTTGATGAAGGCGTATCTCGCCTTTCCGATTCTGACCAGCTTTGATGTCTTCATCCGTATCGCCTGTGGTTCTTCCAATTGGTGATATATATATATCGCAAATACCAGCCAATATCATCCGCGAGTAACTGTCTTCCTATCTAACTTCATGGACTCAAGCGGTCACGACTTCTTGCTAGAACTACCTGTACAGAACCAGTAGCTGGCGAGCATCAGATTAATTTCCCAGTATTGTTTTTGCGCATTTCTTAAGGTTTTGATTATGCAACTATATTCACTAATTACCAGATGAACTTGATCGAATTTTAATTAGTTTTCAAAAAAATATCGTGTAATTCTTACATAAATTGAAGGAAACGCGTAGTGGACAAATTTATCTTGGTTTATATTGTGTAAGACTGCGAATTATTATTTCACTTGTCGATCCTGCAGGAAGAGGAAATATTGTGCAGCTAACTATCCCAAATAATAAATTAAGTAGGTTTCTGGGGAAATTTTGGGGAAATGCAACAATTTTCCCCCATAAATCCCAAAACACCTCGAAACTACCCCCAAAACATCGCGAAATTTCCCAGGAAATCCTCAAATGTCTGTAAACTTCCCCCAGAAATTCCCATTTAATCGCACATATAAAACACAATGAATAATGAAAAAGTAGATATATTGTATACGTTATGATGTATATGCCTAGCGAAAAAGTCAATAAAAACAGCATCGTTTTGTTTTTCATTGATTGGGAAATACAAAAACTTTTATAATAATGAATATATTATATACATTGCAATGGTGTCAGCTTTGTAGAGACATACCGTCATGGAAGTTGAGAGGACTACTAGCTGTCTTGGAGAAGTCGGAGTAGTTGTTCATATTGATGAAACAGTCCTCATAAAGAAGTACAGCAGGGAAGCAAGAAGGTCTAATCAAGCGTGGGTGCATGGAACATATGACACTTCATTTCGCAAAGGTTTTGTGGAAACAATACCAAATAACAGTGCCAGAGTATTAATTCCAATCATTCAAGATGCTAGGATGTACTTTATTGAATTTATTCAATATGTCATTAGCCTCACTTTCATTCTTGGCATCAGCCTGACTAAAGAAGAAGAAGAAAATGGCTCTATCACCTTTTTGGATATCCTTATGATTAAGCGAACATATGGAACAATATGTAGACGTTTGCATCGAAAACCTGAACTTCGTACCTCTACAATACTAGCGTGATTTGGCTAGATGTCTGGTTCACCAGGCTATAACTGTTTGTTCAAAGGATACACTGAATGAAGAACTCGTTAATATTCGTGATCTACTAAGGAGAAACGGATATCCGACTAAATTCTTGAACAAACACATGAACTCAGAAAGAAAACCGTCGAAGGTGCAGACTGTTCCCAGAAAATCAGTCTTCCTAAGATCGCGCGCGGTTCACGGGTGATGTCAATAGTGAGATCTTATTACAATTTCTGAGAAAGACCTTCAAAAGGACTGTAAACGCAGCTAAGCTATGATGTATAATCAATAGCCAAGCAATACTTAGTTCAAGAAATAAAGTCGGACTATTTTGTTTCGCCTCCCCCATGTGTGCGAGGCGGAGCTAGTTACACTGGGCGTACGACAAGGCAAGTTCATCATCAAATTTCTGAACACCTCCCATCTTGGTTTAGCATAGGTCCGAATAAAGCTATACACATTTCAGTACTAACTCAACTTGTTGATACTGGCTGGACATCAGGTTGACTCTAACAAAGCTTTTAAATTTACTTATCGTATATTGACCGCCAGATTCAACTCCAAAGGAAGGAAAGTGTCAATTATACAATGTTATGCACCCACAAACAACGCAGACCTCGAAAAGAAAGAAGAATTCTACAGACAACTACAGGCAACAATGGACAATACTCCAGCTGGCGACATGAAAATACTAATGGGAGACATGAACGCCAAACTGGGACCAGACAACACAGGAAGGGAACTCATCATGGGTAGAGAAGCTCTCGGAGAAATGAATGAAAATGGAGAACTCTTCGCCGACTTCTGCGCCTTCAACGAACTGGTGATTGGTGGCAGTGTATACAAGCACAAAGATATCCACAAGGCTACATGGGTGTCACCAGACGGGCAAACCAAAAACCAAATCGACTTCATCTCAATCTCAAGGAAGTGGAGGCGCAGCCTACTGGACACAAAAGCAAGAAGAGGAGCAGACGTTGGCTCAGACCACTATCTCGTACAAGGGACAATCCAAATCAAATTAAAAGCTTTCAGGGAATCAGGAGCTGCAGATAGACCACAAGCCAAGTTCAACACTCAAAAGCTGAAGGACCAGGCTACAAAGGACATCTTCATTGCAAGCATAAAGGACAAAGCCGAGACACAAATCAACACCAGCGAAGAGGTCGGCGTCGAAAAGCACTGGAACAACTTGAAAACGGTGTGGAGTCAAACCTGCATAGAAATTCTAGGCAGAAAGAAGAGACAGGACAAACAGTGGCTCACTACGGACACTTGGAAACTAATAGAAGAGAGAAGGACAGTGAAACAAAAGATTATCCAGTGCACTGACGAGCAACAAAAACAGGAGCTGAATGCAAGCTACAATACACTGAACAAAAGAGTGAAGAAGAGTGCCAGGGAAGACAAAAGAAAATATTATGAAACCATGGCAAACGAAGCAGAACAAGCTGCAGGCAAAGGAGACCTCGCCACACTCTACCAAACAACTAGGAACCTTTCGGGCAAACGTTCGACACAGATTAAGCCAATAAAGGACGACAATGGAAAGTCAATCACCAAAGAGGTGGAACAGAGAAAGCACTGGGCTGAACACTTCAAAAGACTTCTAAATCGTCCGCCACCTACAACACGCCCAACAATACCAACAACGGAAGCAGAACTACCAGTGAACACTGACCCCCGACGAAATCAGAAGTCCTGAATGCAATCAAGATGCTTAAAGCTGGGAAAACACCGGGACCAGATGGAATCCCAGCAGAGGCTTTGAAAATAGACCCAGAGACAACAGCGGACTTGATGACACCACTGCTGGAGAAGGTGTGGAAAGAGGGCAAAGTACCCGAGGATTGGAAGAACGGATACTTATTCAAACTTCCAAAGAAAGGAGACTTAAGTCAATGTAAAAACTGGCGTGGAATTATGCTTCTGTCCATTCCAAGCAAGATACTAAGTCGCATCATCCTGGAGAGAATCAAACAAGCCCTAGATGAAAAACTTCGTCCGGAACAGGCTGGATTCAGGAGAAACAAATCATGTATTGATCAAATCGCCACTCTACGGATCATCATTGAACAAAGCTTGGAATGGCAGTCACCTCTCTATCTCAACTTCATCGACTTTGAAAAGGCCTTCGACAGCGTCGATCGAGAGGTCATTTGGAAACTACTTCGCTACTACGGGGTCCCATCGACAATTACACATCTCATCCAACAGTTATACGACAATGCTGCATGCCAAGTAATCCACAACGG